ACAAATTAAGTTGTTTTTTCTGCAAGATATTTAGTCGTACGGCCCGAAACTTTTTTTGTGCAGTATATTCACAGAAGAAGTCCACGTCAGCTGATGCCGCCCGTCGATTAGGCATCGCGTTTAGGAGTGAGCCGCCCTCGGGTACAAAGGGCACAACGGGCCTCCCATGGCGACGCACTGGCGGCACCCCCGATTAGTACACGATACCCGCCGTTTCTTCCCTTACAGCCAGAAAAGAGGGACGAGGGGAAGCGGGCAGCAAACTCCGTTGTTTCTTTGGACCTAATCGCTTCGGCTATCGTCGCAGGTGGCGTGCTGTGCGGCGAAGAGGCGTTAACAATCGACGCCGGGTAGTGGTGCGAGAGTTCAACTTCAAAAATTGTTTTTTCCCTTTAAACAAAAATTACTCTGATTAAACTTTCAGAATCAAAAGACGATCAATCGTTCTTCCAAACCCAGCATATTTTGTATTTTTACTTGGACCACCTCAAGGTGGAATAAACGGCTGTTTATCCGTCAAAACGCACTTTTTGGACTCTTCAGGATTTTTTTTTTTTACTGCAATATGTTTAATTGAGCGGTTTAAAATATTTTTATAGGTTATATACCCAGAGGGCAACCAGTAAAAAGTTATATTAGGTCCCGGGAGGAATTATATCTTTTTTATTAAATGACAAAAATGTTTATTTTTGAAAAAAATATGTATTTTTAAAAAAATATTTAAATTAAACAAAACTCCACAAACTCAACCACATTATAAGCCGACAACCATGCAAATTTAAGAAAAAATATTGTTGGGTGTTTCATATGAAAGGTGATTTTTCGTAAATTATTGAGTGATGCCTAGTTTCACGCTGTTTTCAAAAATTAAAATCCCGCTCACGTGATCACAAATTTTTTTTTTCGTCAAAACTATTTTAGGGTATGGCTACGGACATTGTGGCCGAAGGCCATGAATTTTTTTTTTGGAAATCGGAGGTGGCCGAGCGCAACGTCTGGGACGTTTCACGTGGAATGACCCAAGTGAGTTTCTCCGTGGCACTTGCTGCATGTCGTCTGTGCTGTGACGGATGTCACAACACAGATGGTGTTGATTTGGTGACACTTTCGAAAGTAGCCTTCATCTCTGGCGTACCGCCGGGGCAGCAAAGCTTCGTCGGCGGCGCCCCAGACCTGTCTCGTCCTGTCCTTCGGTGTTTCGGTAGAACCAACTCGGCCGGACCCAAAACCTGCGCCTCCTTCCCTTCAGAGCGCGGCGACGACGCAAGATGAACGAGCAGGTTAGGATAATCACATTCACGCTGATCACCAGGTCATTATGGACTCCTACAATGTAGGCAGCGAGTGCGGAACGGAAGAATCTAACGAGGAGCAGAGAGGCGCGATCGCGGGATCCAGTGCTGTCACGTGACGCCCGCAAAACGGAGGCCAATGTGAACTCCTCGCGTTAGGACGACGGACGGCGGTGCCGCTCGGCGGCACCGCCCGGCGGCGCCGTTCACGCTAGTGTTGTCAGGCCTTTAGAAGGTACGTGGTCAGGTGGTTTGACGAATGACGGACCTAGTTTGGCCAGGCCGGCGCAGCTGTAGCCTTGGCTATTGTAACGCGCTCCGGGCGCCCGAGCGAGCGAAGAGCGAGAAAACAGCGACCGATGAGCGAAAAAAAAAAAGAGAAAAGTAGGGTGACGTCACGGCGACGTCAAATATGTTCATCACCCACTCCGGCAACTAGGACGGGTAGAGCCGTTAACATCCATGTTCCTTCGGGGCGCTCTTTCTGCGCTCAAGCGTACGGTTGTTTCCGCCATCTCAAAACATGGCGTTGCAATCGCCGCCTCTACCGCTGCCGGACCGCCCCTACTCGCCCCTAGATGGCGCAAGTTGTCCTGTCGCGTCCCAGGCGGCCGGTTCGCCCCCGCTCGATGCCCCCCACCCCACCTCCCCCGTCCCCGGTTTGCTTTCCTGATTTCATTTCTCGTCGATTTCATTCTCGTCTTCTGGGGCTTTTATTTTATATCCTTTTTTCATAAACCACTGTACAGCAACTTCAGAGAAGCTGCTCCTCAAGTGGGTAGGAGGCAAGGAGCACACATTTACTTTTCATACATTCTTTATTATTTACACAGATCTCATACATAAAATGGAAGATAAATACAGATTACAAGATTTATTGAACAATAGAACAGATAGCACTAGAAGCAAGAAAGAGCACAATGAAAGAAATATACATTTCTAAAAGACATCGCACACCAGTTTTGATCAGCAGAAACTTCAATGTTTCGTAGACAAAAAATATATATATATATATACATTTTTTTTGTCACTCAGTTGATAGATTACTCGTTTTACGGTTTCTGTGCTTTCCTATCAGCTGCAGACCTTTTCAAATCAGGTTTTTGCAGATCTCTTCTTTTAAAAGGCGTAAATTCATCAGGGTTCATATCAGAACATCTGGAGGAACTTCTTTCTAGCCGAATGCTGGACAGAGAAGGTCTCCGACTGTTCTGTCATGAAAGCACTAAGATTCTTCATCACATCATCCTTGTATACCAGATTGAGAATGCACGCCAGAAAGCACAAGCTCACCCACAAAAGTAAGGCAAGGGTCTGTGAGCAAAAACAGAGCGCCAAAAATGCCTGTGTCGTCCTGTGAGCTTAACACGTGGTACGGTTCGATGTGCCTGCAAATTTCAGGTGCAACGTCGCTCATACGTAAGAAAAAGCGAAAAAAAAAAAACGTGTGCTAAGTACTGTGTTCACGGGGTTTCTGCCGCACAAGACTGAAAATCGTAACCAGGATCGCACCACATGGAACGGGCTTGAAACGAAAGCGACGGAAAACGAAACTTTACCTCTCGGTTCGGAACACCTTTCGGAATAGAAGGAACGACAAGACTTTCGACTTGCTGGAGTTCCCGCACCATTTCGCAGCTGAGTAGCGCCAAGGTATCCTCTTCCGAGAGCACCAGAACTTTCGAAGTTAAAATTAGCGCGGACCGAGAGAACACCACGTTTTCCGCAGAACACTCGGAGCTGACGATCACGCTCATCGGCTGTCGGCGACTGTTGCACCGGTGGCACCGGTTGCGCCGTTGCTGCCGTTGCCATGGCCACCGGCCCGGCGGCAATGCCGATCGTAACGCCATATTTTGAGGCGGTGGAAACAAGAACCCTACGCTTCAGCGCAGAAAGAGCGCCCCGAGAAAACATGGATGTTAACGGCTGTACCCGTCCTAGTTGCCGGAGAGGGTGATCAACATATTTGACGTCATCGTGACGTCATCCTGACTCTTGGCGGCCTCTACCGAGGTTTCCTTGAACGCCGCTGGCTGCGTGAGCCTGGTTTGGCGTGTGAATTCGCCCTGTGTGGCTGCTACGGATGTCTGCTTCTTCAAAGAAGCCCAAGAATTTTTTGTGATGCGTTTAGTGTTCGGTTCTACAAATGACAGATTGTGCTACATCGTGTTGAATCTTCCTTCTCGTTTTTGTGTTTGAGTGGTGGTTTTGCCGTGGCCGTGTCGACATCTTTCTCGGATTACACCTTTCAAGTCCCGTCTCGTCAACGTAAGTGCGCTGCAACCTACTTCGCGACAATTGATCGTTTTCCTAAAGGTGTTCTTCATGGTTACCTCTAGAATTAGGCCGTGTCTATCTCCTGGCAGCCGGGACAGTAAGTGTGCAGAATGTTTCGGCATTGGTGCGATTGCGCTACAAGCAGAAAGTTTCGATATGCCGCCGACAGTTTTGACATGTCGTCAGAAAACAACAACAGAGACTCTTAATTACGCGTTCCAAAATTTGACGAGCGGGTTTACGAGTCGTTTGTAGAAAGATTGTTACGATTTTGCGAAATACTGGTAAACAACGCTTAGAGTTACACGAAGTATACTAGCGCTTTTCTTGCGCGCATGGAAATTGTCTTTCCCAATATAATCAATTTGCAGTGAAAGCGTCGATCGCAACCGCCGACACACGCAAGGAACTGTTGCTTGCCGTAAACTCGGACGGAGCGCTCGCCACACATTTCGGATGGTATTGCTCTATCCGTTGCAAACATACCGGGTTTCCCAAATAGCAGCCAGGCTCTTTAAATTGACCGCAAAATTCTGCGATTTTGTGCAGCTTTGCCCACAAATGGTCAGACTTGTACGTAACGCGTTACAAGTAATTGATTACTTGTAATCAATTACAGTTAAGTGTAATTTTGTAACGCTTCAATTACATTTGTCAAGCTGTAACGCTCGGAGTAATTCAATTACTTTTTTTCTGTAATCAATTACAAAATCAATTACACAATTACCAATTACATTTTTCATCCCACAATTCTTTTTTGTCACAAAAATCAGCATAGTCACTCAGCCATGGAGCAAAAATGATTGACATTTTTTTTTAACATCTAAAAAAAATAAAACTAGGATTAGTCGGCAAATCCTTTTTCCTTTTACGCCACGCTCTTCTACAGGCGCGCCACCAGCCTTGGCTGGGGAGTTCCGGATCTCGTTGCAGATTGCTGATAAAGTCGACGGGAAGCGGGAACTCCCTATTGACTTTTTAGTGGGCTTTGTTCCTTAGGTCGACGCGTCAGCTACACGACAAGGTCCGGGTCTGAAAACAAAAAAGGGAACAATAACCAAACAAAATTGTGTACGCAATATTTTACTGTGTTTTTGTGTATTTCTCTCATCGCAATAAGAAGTAACGTGAAAGTAACTTGAAAAGTAATCAATTACTTTGCAGTAATTGTTCAATTACTTCTGGGAGGCAGTAATCAGTAACGGTAATCGGTTACTTTTTTGACTGTAGTAATTGTAATTGTAATCAGTTACTTTTTTTCAGTAACGTGTACAAGTCTGCAAATGGTGCTTTTTTTTTTTTGTAAAATTTGCAGAGCAAATTTTTTACTTAAGGAAAAGTAAAAAAAAAATGAAAGACGTTTACAACTCCCTGTAATGCCCAATTGGTAATTAGAGCGCAGCTCTTGAGGAGGAGGAGGAGGAGGAGGAGGAGGAAAACGTTTATTGGAACATGAGGGATGATGCTGATGATGACGGAAGTGGAGCCTTAGCGGGGAGGGTTCCTCATTCCAGGATCCCTAGAAGCTGGCCAGCAAGTTTGGCCCTTTCGAGCAGCCTAAGCTGCTCTCCGGGGTCCCTGCTCCGCAGCAGCCTCTCCCAGCCGGCTTGGCCTTTTTCTTCGTCTTGGAGCTTGGGAAGCTCGTCGTTATTCGTACATTCCCACGTGGAGTGGTAGAGTGTCGCTCGGGAGCCGCACCAGGGGCAGCTGTCGTCTTCGTACCTGTCCGGATCCACGTGTCTGGCCAGCACCTTGTTCGGGAAGTTGCCCGCCTGGAGTCTCCTCCATAGGGCGGCATCTATTCTGTCGAACCTGTCCGCGGGCTCCGGAAACTGGAATCGGCAGGCCTTGTAGTGGTCAAGTAGCTCCGAGTAGCTCGGGTTCACGATAACGGTTTTCCCCGGCTGCGTCAGACCGGCCCGGAAGGTATGAGCACGGGCTCGGTCGTCTGCTGCCTGGTTACCCGTGACGCCCGCGTGAGCGGGAATCCACGCGATTTCGTGCGTTACTCCAGCACTTTTCGGGGTGACCTTATTTATAAGTTTGGCGGTTCTCGCTCCAATCCTGCCTTTTAGAAAATTTCGACAGGCCTGTTGAGAGTCCGACAGGATGAGCATGCTACTGCCCTTCCTATAGCCGTCCATCATGGCGAGCGCTATGGCTCTCTCTTCGGCCTCTTCCGTCGTTGCCCTGGGCATCGAGCAGCTATTTTTCTCCATCTTGTTTTTGTCCAGGTATACGGCTACCTTTGCATCCCGGTCCGGGTAGTCGGCAGCGTCGACGTACGCCACCTCTCCCTTTTTGGCTATCCTTTCGTAGTACCTGGCTCTGGCTAGTCTTCGTTGTTCATGCGTATCCGGTCTCATGTGTTTTGGTATGGGTCGTACGATGTACGTATTTTTCGCCATATCGCTTAGGTCGGCCGTTCTGGTCGCCTTTGTCCTCACGTCGTTGAAGCCGAGTTTGGTCGCCAGGCGTCTTCCGGTCTCGCTGCGTCCGAGTCTCTCTTTCTGCGCCGTCAGCATGGCATCCTTGTGCTCTCCGTACGTGTTAGAGATGCCCATGGCCATGAGTTTTTCGGTTGATGTGGTAATGGGTAGTCCTAGCGCTAGCTTGTACACTCCCCTCATTTTGCAGTCGATCTTTCTCTCTTCTGTTTTGGTGATCCGGTGGTACGGCATGCAGTAAGTGATCCTACTTACGACGACGGCTTGAACAATCTTCGCCACGTCTCGTTCTTTTAGACCCCACTTCCTGTGGGTGACTCTCTTAATCATCCTTCCCATGATGTCTATGGTTTTGGAGATCTTTTCCCATTGTAGCGTGGCTTTCCCATTATGTTGTAACCACATACCCAGCAGCCTTAGTTCTTTCACTTCGGGCACTGTGTGGCCTTCTATCGTGACGTTGATGGGTATGCTTCTGTCGTACCTTCGTCCATGAATCCTCAGAATCTCTGATTTTTCGGGCGAGCAGTGGAGTCCGCTTGCTTTTGCCACCTCTTGTATGACTTCTGCCGCCTTTTGCAGCCTTTCCTCCTTTTCTCCTAGCGACCCTTTTGTGATCCATATCGTAATGTCATCTGCGTATACCGCGTACTCTATGTTCGGGATCTTTGCCAGTCTCTCGGATAGCTTGAAGAGCGCTATATTAAAAAGTAGGGGTGACAGCACCGCTCCTTGCGGCGTCCCCTTGTTGGGCATGTCGAACGTCTTAGTCTTTGTGTCATCAATCTGGATGGTGGCGCTGCGGTTTTCCAGGAAGGAGCGTACGTAGTTGTAGGTCTTTTCGCCTCCGTTGGTGGCGTTCAAGTTGTCTAGTATGGCGGAGTGGGCAACGTTGTCGAAGGCCGCCTTTAGGTCTATGGCTAGCACGATGTGCTCCCCTTTGGCGGGGATTTTGCCGCTCAGCACTTCTTCCCTGATCTGAAGTAGCACGTCTTGAGTGCTCAGGTGTGGCCTAAAACCGTACATGCAGTGCGGCATGAGCCCCTCTTCCTCCAGGTAGCGCTGTAGCCTGTTTTTCACCATGCGTTCCATGAGTTTGCCTACGTTCGACGTTAGCGAGATAGGTCTCATGTTGTCTATATGCGGTTTTTTTCCTTGCTTGGGAATGAGCTTGATTTGCGAGTGCTTCCACTCTTCCGGGACTTTTCCGCTGTTCCATACCTCGTTAATAAAGTTTGTGAGTTGCTTCTGAGTCTTCTGCGGTAGATTCCGTAGCGTGGCGTTGGTGATGCCGTCCCTCCCCGGTGTGCTGTTGGTCGTTTCGGCGGCGGCTGCCACCAGCTCCCCAACGTCAAAGTCTCTGTCAAGACTCTCGTTGGTTCGTCCCGTATACTCGTTTCCGGTTTCGGGTGTCCCTTGATCCGGGACGTACCTGTTCTTGATGTATTCTAGCACGTCTCCTTGGAATTTGTGTACAATCCTCGTGAGAGTTCGGTTGGTTTCGCCTCTTGTCGATGCCGGGTCCGCCAGGTATTTGAGCAGGTTCCAGGTCTGTTTTGTTTCCAAAGTGTTCTGCAGTTTGTCGCATTTTTGCCACCAGTTTTGTCGCGCCAAGTCATCGGCGTACTTTTCTATTTCCTCGTTGAGTTCCGCCACTCGACGTCTCAAATTCCGGTTCAGTTTGTTGATTTTCCACTTTACAGTCAAATTGCGCCTTTTCTTCCACAGCGTTTCGAGTCGCGAGTCAACTGCAGTGACTTTTTCGGTCAGCTCTACCTCGTTGGTGTAGTCTTCTTTGGCTCTTTTTAGTTCCCTTGTCCACCGCGCAAGGTCGTCTATGGGTCTTGTTTCCACTTCCTGTCTGAACTTTCTCCAGTCTGTTCTCTGATTCTTTCCTATGCGTCGACGCTTGGCGTCTGCCACTACTTCGATCCTAATGATGCAGTGGTCGCTTCCGAGGGTTTCTTGCGTGTTTATCCATCCCGCCGTGGCTCCCCTGATCATCGAGAGGTCCGGGTTTGTGTCTCGACTCACGCTGTTTCCCACTCTAGTGTGGCAGTCTGTGTCGTTGATGATCGTTAGTTCGTGCATCTCGATTAGCTTGAGTAACTCTTTGCCCCTCTTCGTGTCCTTTACGTAGCCCCATTCCGTATGCGCCGAGTTGAAATCTCCCGCGACGACTATCGCGTTGTCCTTGCCGGCCATCTTGCATGCCGTTTCCATGATTTCCGCGAGGTCCTCGGTCTTGTAGCCCTTGTGTTGCGCGTACACGTTTAGCACGAATGTGCTCTTGCCTCCCTTGTTGCTAGGCACCACTTCCGTCAGAACGTTCTCTACTTCTTGCTTTGTTTCGTGATGTATGACCGTGATGTTCTTATTGACGAGCGTGGCGACCCTGGGCTTGTTCTTATCGTTGCCGTAAACGTAGTACCCACTCAGATTCGCTTCTGAATTCGGTTCTTGCAGCAAAATTAGGTGCGGTTTTTCCACTTCGTCCTGTAGATAAAATGTAAAATTGCTTCGTTTTCCTCGGTAGGCTCTGCAATTCCACTGCCACATCAGAAGCCTACCTTCCATACGGTTGCTATGCCTCTGCTTTGGCTCCTTCGTTGCTCACGCAGCTGACATCGCTTTCGTAGCCGTCCTTTGCACATTTCCTCCTAGGCGGGCCCGCCGCCCCGTCCAGTAAACTTGCGAGCATCTGTTCAATTTTAGCGAATCTTTGCTCGAATTTGTTTTCCAGTTGCTCGAATTTGCTTTCTAGTAGCTCAAACTTGTTCTCGAATTTGTTGTCTAGTTGCTCCTTTCTTTCCTCGAGCGGACCCTTTCTTTCCTTGGGCGTCTTTTTCGGTGCCTCTGCCGGCTTCGGCTGAGTTTTCGGCTCGTCCGTTTTGTTTTCACACCGTCTTCGGAGAGTCTCCAGTTCTTTCTTGTGCTTCTCTTCTTGTCTCCAAGAGTTTCCTTCCAGTCTTTTAATGGTTTCCGCCATCTTGGCGTTTTGCTCCTCCATTTTATGGAATTGTTCCCTTTGTATCTCCATTGTTCTCTGAAATTGTTCCCTTTGTATCTCTGCCACCTTCTTTAGCTCTCTAATTGTCTCCTCCATCTCGGAAATTTTCTGCTTGTCCGATTTCTCTCCCTCTATTGTGGGGTAGTTGGCTTGCCCAGTAACCCACCTCAGCGTAGGGAAGTCTTCTATGTTGCTCTGCGCCTCCGCCCACGCCTTCTTTTTGCTGACGTCGGTCAGTGTATCAGTAGTTTTGGGCTGCACCTTTTTCGTCGGTTCTTTGTATCGCTTTTTGCACTCCTTGTCCCCGGTGGGGTGTTCCCCTTCGCAGAATGCGCATCTTGCCCTGCAATTCTCTTCGCCTTCCGCGTGCGTTCGGCCGCAATTTCGGCACCCCTTTGCGTCTGGCGTGGGGCATACGTCACTCCTGTGTCCCGGCTTCATGCAGACGAAACATACTTGCTTCACCGGCCTGTATTCCCACACGTGTGCCATTTGCCCGTATAAGCACACTTGGTTTGGCAAACGGTCCCCGCTAAAAGTGAGGACCACAACTTCCGTATCCCTGATTCTTCTGGCTTCTATTATTTCAATGTCGGCGTACTTGCCCCTTACACTGAAGTTTTCTCCCAGTTCTTCGTCTGTAAACTCTTTAGAGACTCTGTATACCACTCCTTTTACCGTGTCCTCCATGATGACTTTAGCTTTGAAGCTGTGCTTCTTCCCTTCGATCTCAAGTTCTTCGATTTCTGTCACCGCTTTCGCGATGTCTTCCCTTTTCGTGCTGACTATTATGGCGTTGGTACCTTTCAATATTCTTGTTGTGATTTCCTCATCTCGGAGGGCATGGTTTCTTCGGATGGCCTTAATTAGTGCCTTGCCTACGGATCCTTCTCTGGTGTCTCCGAGTTTCAGACCCTTTTCGGGTCTAACAGTAATTTTTATCTCGTCTCCCGGCATCGGTCCGAATCTCCTCCTTTTTGGCTTCTGCTCCTCGGTTGACCCCATGTTGTTTTTGACATCGCTGGTGGACGAGCTGACTTTCTTATCCTTTTTTCTAATAATGTAATTCCAACCCCTCTCGGGTATTCCGCCTATTCTTTTCTCGCCATCGGCGGCCGTCTCGTCCATCTCCATGCCATCCCCGCGTGGGGGTAGGCTTGTCTCTAAAATGTCGATATTGCCGGTAATATGCGACCCACTCACGTTTCCGTATTATCCTTCTTTTCCTCTCGTCCTCCTTCCTTCCGTGGTATCAGTCTTTTCCGGAAAACAGGAAAATTTTCGCGTCGTTCGGTGCGAGATGCGGAGCCTTCGTGGAAAACGTTCGTCCCCGCCGCAAACTTCTTCTTTTCCGGAGGAGGAGGAGGACGGTACGGAGGGGACGGTATGCTCTCCTCCTCACCCGTACCCTCTCTTCCTCCCTCCTCTTCTACTCCTCCCGTGCTCCTCGCCTCCTCCCCTCTTCTCCTCCTCCCTCTTTCTTTTCCTCCTGCATCCCCCTTTCTCCTCCTCGCTCCCGCGCGGTGCATTATGGAAAACGTCCCATAATGCAACGCGCGCGCCACCGCGGTGCATTATGGGACGTTTCGCCATCGGCGTAACCATTATGGGACGTTTCGCCATCGGCGTTACCGCTAGGTTACGCCGATGGCGACGCCACGCGTCACGCCGCGCGTTACGCCGACGCGTTACGGTTACGCCTACGCCGACGGTGACGCGTCACGCCGACGCGTTACGTTACGTCGGGGGCGACGGCGACGGCGACGCCGACGCGTCACGCCGACGCCAACGCGTCACGCCGACGCGTTACGCCGACGCCGCTCAAGCCGGAAACCGGCGCCTCAGAGCTGCGCTGTAAAGATGAAAAAGGCTTAACTCCTACGGAAATGGTGGCTTCGCTGCATTTCCATAGGAGTTAAGCCTTTTTCTTTTTTTTTTTTTACTTTTTCCTCGGGTAATTTTTCTCTTGAAAATTTCACAAAAAAAAAAAAAAAGAAACACCATCCGTGGGCACCGCTGCACAGATTGTGTTTTTGGCCGCTATTTGGGACACGCGGTAGAATCATCGTATAGCAATGAAAAGGTATGGCAATCGAGTGAAGCGAACGAACAAATTGATTGATTGATATCTTTCTTTCTTTCTTTTGTGTTTTTTTGCTTCTTTCTTTCTTCTCAGGAGAGCCGCGGCGCCGAAGAAAGGCAAGTAGCCCATACCGTGAAGGCCCGCGGCGCCGCGTCGAACGACGATGAGATGATACAGACCCCTTTCAAAATACTGCCCTCTGTAGACCCGTTGCTCTGGGGCAGGGGGCGCGAGCGCATCCGCAAGACGCGACCATGTTATGATGGCTGAACCATCCAGGTGGCTCCGTAACGTTTGATTTTGCGCGTGCCACGTTTGAATGCAAGCATCTGAAGATGCGCGATAACAAAACCTCTAAATAAAATTAAAAAAAAAAAAGAATTAAGCAGCTCGCGGCCGCAGCGTCCCATTAAACATTCCTTTCATCTTTGCCTTCCTTCATAGCTTCCGCGAGCGGGTATGTTTCACTTTACGTGATAGCGAAGCCGAAGCTACTCGCAAAAGCACGTCCTCCTGAAAGATGCTCGCACTGCACGAGCGCGCGTGCTTGACAGAGACGCTGAAAGCTCGCAGCTCGCTCTTGTAGCCTCTGCTACGCTGGCACTTAGAGTGGAACGGAGTAGAAAGAAACTCTAGTGGGGAAGCGTATTGACGCATGTTCGAAATCCGAGCCAAATATTCTATCTTGCTCGCCTGGAGCGCTGCTCAAAACTTGAGAGCTACGGGCCTGTTGGCCGTTATGGACTTCCTGCGCAATGGCGGACTTCAAACGCAACGTCACGGCGAAGTTTTGCGTTTAGTTGGGTTAGAAAGCAAAAACCCACCCACAAAAAAGGTGATGAGCGCAGTGACGTTGCACTTCCGATGCTATTTAATAGACTCGTCAACTCATGTTGTTGGCCGCGCTACCGACGTTCCCTATCTTATGGAATGACTTGCACGTTCCAGGATGTCAGTCGTTCCGCCATTGTGCAGTGATTCTGACCTTCTAATAATCAACACGTGACTTTCGAAACACAGAACGACTCGTCCGTGTCGGTCTGTGTTTGTCCCTTGTCCGTATCCTCAGTCTCGGGTTTACAACTATGTTCAGTTAAATGCTCTTACCGTGCAGACGGGAATGCTTTTCTCTTTTTGCAGATGGGGCATTTAGAGAAAATGGGCTTGAGGTTGTCTTCACCGTCGTACAAACACCTGGTGCAGATAAAATGCTGGCATTTTCCGTAGACCACGTTAAGACTTGGCATCAAGCATATTGGGCAACTGAAGCTGTATGGAAACAACGTGGATACACTCTTAGGAAAAAGGGTATGGATAGTCCTCCCTTAGGGGGAGGAACCGTCTTGTAACCTATGTTCCTTTAGAAAGAGAGAAACTTTCGTCCCTGAAGCAGGGGAGCAACCAGTTCCTCCGTCGCCTGCATCTCATTATGGCGGCCCTGAATCGAGCAAATCGAGCTCAACAAGGCTTAACGAGGACGCTACGTCTCGTGTACGGGACGAGAGCAGCAGCAAATAAAAGCGTAACACGAGCTTTCCGCGAACTGTGTTTATTTCCGAAGCCAGATTCCCCCCGCTGGTAAAGAAACTTGCGTTTCGAAAGCAGTTAGTCAGTCTTCTCGTCGACAGCACTGCGATGTTAAACGGAGACAACCGATACACAGTTATTTCGCGCACTTTGCGTCTTACCTTTGGTGTTCCTCGAGTCACAATTCTTTTGCCAACCGCACATCACGGAAAAATGGCAAACCAATCCGCGAAACCAAAAGCCGCTCTCAAAAGAACAAACTCGAAGCCGCTGATTATCGCGCGTGAGAGAAAGTTAAATCGCTTGCCACCAGATGGCAGGGTCAAGCAGAGTAATTGCAAGTTGCAAGAGTAGGTGGCGCTAGGTACCGCCCAATTTATGTTCTACAAAAAATAATTTCATTTTCTCAGACCATTATTGCGCATGAGGATCCTTACTATACACATTACTCATACTACAAGCATCAGGTAACATACATTGAGCACATACACATACATGGCACATACAAACATCACCACAGCGGCACACCACACTAGCCCGAACACTACACCCGTGCTCTGCGTTTCCGTCTTTTATACTCGTCGTTTTGAACGTACAGAAGTTTTCGGTGACTGAATAAGCAATACAAAATATTACCAGCATGTTGATTTTTTTACAGCAATGTCATAACTCTGAGAGTGTTTAGAATGGCTCAGGGGATGAATATCTTTTTAAAAAGCAAACGCTCGATCAAGCCGTAATTATTTCAAAGCAATAAATCAAGCCGCTCCAATGCGGTTCGAAGCCATGAGTTTGTTTCCCCGCACGGCACGTCGCAGCCTCTATTTCTATTGTAGTGTTTGTTTTTCTATTTGTGCTGTTCCCGCAAAGCTGCAATTGCCGTCTTGAATTAATCTCTGTAGAGCGGAAGTGATGCTTCACGGGCTGAGAAATCGCTTTTCGAACAACTAGAATGCAGCCAAAGCCGTGACTTACGGCAGGTGTTAATGTACGGAGCTACGCCGTGGCGAGCTCGAAAACTTCTGGCCTCATCCCAGCGCGCCACTTGGAGGGCAGTTTCTCCAGGAACCGTAGTATATTTAAACAGCAAAATAAAAGGTAGCTTCTTTTTTTGGATTTTACGTATTGTTTTTTAATGCTAAAATTCCACACAGTAAATATACGTACTTTCCGTCACGATTTCGTACTGTTGTCCTTTCCCCAGAGAGCAACTGCTCTCGGGGACGAGACAACCGACAGTCACATTGGCCACTGTACAATAGGAGCTTACACTGTTCAGACCAGCGTTCCAACATGACTATCCGCACGTCGATCGACTGCACCTAATCTCTCAAGTGGTATTAAACTTTTTAATGTAAAGCGGAATGTCAACCTGCGACACCCCGCCCCCTCCGATCACGGCCCGACCAGTGACATCCATGCTCGACGGTTTACGATCTCATCTTGTTACACCACTGATACGCGAACACACGGTCACATCGGCGATAATTCCAGTCTTCTCCTCACAACCCACAACACTGCCATCACGATGTTGCTGCTATGTTGCTGACACGGGTGGTTCTCATTTGAACCCGTTCGCATTTCTACCTTCTCGTTTTTACCTCCTCATTTCAACCCAGCGCAAAACAACTTTCGCGTTTCTCCTTTTCTCATTTAGACCGTTCTCAAAACAAACTTTCGGGTTTTGACCCTTCTCAAAACGACTTTTCTCATTTTAACCTTTCTCATTTCAAATTTTCTCAAAACATACTTTCTGGTTTTGACCATTGTAAGAAAGATTTTTCTCATTTTAACCTCTCTCATTTCGAACCCAAATTAATCCAACATCATAATCTCGCAATCTTTCTGCGGTATTTATGGCGAATTCGGGTAATTAATTGCCTTCGAGCCCTTGCCTGTGGCACCGGCGACCAAAAACGCGCCAGCGGCGCATCACGTGACCCTCTCCACCCGAATGCAAAGCACAATGAACTGGCGTTTTTATTTGACTGGGTCGCGAGTGAGCTCTGTTAACTTCTTCTTCGATCATTCTATGGTACAATGAGCACGCTGCATACGCCAACAACATAAATTACGACTCTTTGAGATGTGTTTAAACAGAAGCGGCTTCACAAAACTTTTCAAAATATTGGCATTATCACAGTCCGTACAGCTGACAGAATATTAAAATATAAAATCAATTAAAGGGCAGAATAAACTTCGTTTGGATTTTCGATTAACTGTTGCCATGGAGGCTTGCCAGTGTCGCTTTCCATATTCTGTTTACTGTTAGGAGAGTTTTAGTAGATCGTTCCCATGGCTCCGATAACGATACTCGATACTCCGCCACCGCCTCCCTTGCGCATGCATAGTGTCGTTATCGGGGCTATCGGGGGTATCGGAACGATCTACTAAAACTCTCTAGTACCATTTTTTCAATCCTCAGTCTTCTCATTGCACCTCCCTCCTTGAAATTGTAATGCGTGTTCAAGTTTCAAACTGCATCACTATGCATACTTCTTTTTTTTTCAGCGGTGTAATAACT